CTAGACCAGGGGTGTCAAACATGTGGCCCGGGGGCCGGACCGAGCCCCCGGAGGGCTTCTATCAGGCCCGCCGTGGAACTGGCTGTCTCCTGCTTCTTCTTCCAGTCCTCCTGCTGCTGCATCATAGTACGTTTGCAGCTTACAGATATGCACCTGAACAGCATACTCAAGACTGCAACAGCACAGACATTTTGATGCAACAGTTCAGAGCAAGAGGTGTCCGTTATCAGACACTGTTAAATAAACAAAATATTGCAAGAGTGCTAATGTTTTTAAGTGTGTTTTTATTTTAAGTTAAAAAATCCTTGTGTTTGTGTCCTTTATGAAGTTTATATCTCCGCTACCCGGCGTTACATTTTATGACACACATGGCCCGGCCCAACAAGGTCTCATTTATGTCAGATCCGGCCCTCATAACAAAGGAGTTTGACACCCTGGCCTAGACTGTTCCTAGCTGTCTCTTGGTAGGTAAGTAAACAAAATAAAACACCCTAATGCAGAGGTGTCAAACTCATTTGTTACAAGGGCTGGATCTGACACAAACATCACTTTGTCGGGCATGTGTGCCGTAATGCCAGGTACTGGAGATAGAAATGATATAAAGGACAGCAGCTGGTAAGCTCCGAGTTGCTGTATTCTCGCTGCAAGGGCTGGAAGGGGGGTGCAGAGGAAAACCCATTTGGCCGGACTGGAGAGGCAGCGGTGCAGCCCTGGGCAGATGCTCCCATGCGGCTTGAATGCTGTAGATTAGGTGGTTCCGCCACCCCGCAGCCACAATTGGATTGGCTCCCCCCACTCCCCCGAAACAGTCTCCTGTTCCCTCCCTAGTTGCTTGTGGGCCGCATAACAGCCCCGGACAGGCCGGTTCCGGCCCAAGTAAACATTTTGAGTCGCTTCCGTTGACGAGAATCGCTTTGCGAATCCAGCTGTTTTTGTTTCGGGTCTTTTAGTGCTAAGTGATGCTGGCTGTTGTCGTCACACTCAGCGTGTTGTTCTGTTTCCTTTTTATGCTGTGTGTCCTGCAGGAAGTGGCGAGACCCCTACAATGGACAATATTGATTCCTATATGAATAGACTGCACAGTATCATTCTGGCAAACCCCCAGGAGAACGAGACCCTTATAGCCACAGTCCGGGAGGTCGTAAACCGCCTCGAACGCTAGCGAGCTGTCTCCCTTTCCGGGACCTCTACCGTCATCCTTGGTAGGGCTGAGAAGAAAAAGCTGCTGACATCCGAAACGATCGGTTTGGCTCCCTTCGTCAGATTTCAGGTGCCGGGACTGGATTTTCGGGCATCGATCTTCCATATTTGGGTGAAATTGGACCGAGCACATCAGTTCCACCGCAGCAGCCACACACTGGCTGTTCACACAAAGTATTTCTGATATCGCGACGACGTATAATTTTCACAGCTGTATTTACCTCCACAAGGACACTTTTAGCATCGCAGTCGGTAAATAAAAGGGAGGACAAATCCGGTCTTCCCACATTCCCGCCGGCAGTGATCATCCGCTCCTGTGTTCCAAGCAGAACTGAAGCGGCTCTACCCCACCCACCCCCTTTCCCCAGTTGAAAGCCCTACCCGGTGTTATTTGTTCTAAACGCACAAGGCTAAGTTCCCGATGCTGCATCCCACGTTCGTAATTTGCCTTTATAAAATCAAATAGTTACTTTTAATTCGGCGCGTTCACATCCATTTGCGCTCCAGGGAGCCAGGCATCCTCCACCTTTGCGGGCCCGACCTTTCGGGATAATTGCGCAGTGCAATTAATTGCCTGCTTTCTCCCCCGTCATGACTTAGCTGAAGCCGAAAGGTGGTTGCCCTTCCCAAGAGCAGCCAGACGGAACCGGACGCAGTTCTAAGACAGCCAGTCCTCCCGGCAGAACAGAGCAGCAGCGTCGACCTCGGCTATCTGACGCAGGGGAACAGCTTGTGGACGCAGAACTGGGATTTCCCCCCCCCCTCCCCAGACAACTCGTCCACCTCCTCATTTTAAGAGAGCATTTCTCTTAGCATCACAATATGTTGTAAAAGAAAGACTGGGGGGGGGGAGTCTGCCCACTGAAGGGGTTGCAGGCTATGATAATTGGCAGAGAGGTCTGTCTTCAGGCAGATGCTAGAAGAACGCCTGAGCCAGATGTTTCCCATTTAACACCTCTTGCCCGCAAAAGCCCACTCGAAGCCTCAGATGCCGAGGCAGGTAGCTGTACCTGTCAGCTGTTCGCTGTGACGAGAAGCCCCAGGGGAGACTCTTCAGAATGCAAACATAGCTCCTTCTGGGGGAAACTGGGTTTTGAATTTGAACGCCTTTGCAGCAAAAGGAATCAAAGCACCGACCCCACCCCCACCCCACCCCCACCTTGTCCCCATTTCCACCTCCCTCTTCCTATTTTTGTTTAAAAAATGCTTGTTCTCAATCAACTTTCACCCCACAGACGAGGCAATTTAAAACGCCGATCCCAGCCCAGCTTCATTATCCAAATACGAACACCCGACTAATGCTGATTGCTCCCAGCACTTCTGGCTTAATAAATTACCCTTGACACTGGCTCGGCTAATTCTCTTCCAGCAGGAGGAGGGCCAAGGACACGAACTGGTAGGGCGAGGCCACCTGCAGCCGGTAAGCAGGAGAGCTCCAGGCAGCTACCGAAGCAAGGGCACGTTCTCAGGAATCTGGGTTTTGCTTCTCCGCTTTCCGTCAGATGGCCCCTCCAGCGTCGCCGCGCTTCTTAACATATGGGTAGACAGAGCCCAGGCATGCCGGGGAGGAAAACAAGTTACCAGCTAGACATCGGGGAGAAACTGCTGATCCCGTATGCTAGCGACGCTTCGGATCGAGGGACGGCTGCCAGCATCGCCCCCCCCGGCACTGTCATCTGTCCTCTTTGCCGGGGTGATTGAAAACACAGTGACTTTTTATTGGGGGGGGGGGTTAAGGCAGGGGGTCGTGGGTCACTTGAAGGCACCGTATTGTTCTTTCCCCACTCACCCTTAACACGGGAGGGGGCACCGCGGTGTTCCAGCCATTCCTTGGCTCTGGATATTTGCCAATGGCAAAAAAATAAATCTACATTTCATTCCAGACCGTCACTCCGATCGTTTGGTTAATATCAGCCACGCTAAAGAATGTCAATTCGGGGAGCCTTGCATTGTAAGGTCCGCCCCCCCCCCCTTGATAAGTCTCACCCATTTGGGGGTTGGGGACCCCCATTAGATCTCGGCCTGCTCAAGGTGGGGCTTGCATCTCTGAAACCCCCATCCCGCACCACTATCTCATCTTCTCTGCGAGCTCCTTCCACCTCTTGAGCAAACAGCCATTACCTTTGTGAGGAGACCGGGAGTTATTGGGGGGGGGGGGGAATAACACAGGACAGTCCTGGAAGGTTCCTAACCTTCCAGCTATTACAATTCCCAGCGGCCACCATTTCCCGCCGGGGTTGATGGGAATTGTAGTTTCGTTGGGCTTCCGGCTTAGTTGATAAAACTACAGTTTCTTTCAGCCCCCTACAAGAAATATAGTCTGGGGAAACTTACAGATCCCAGTGGCCACCATTTCCCGCCGGGGTTGATGGGAATTGTAGTTTCGTTGGGCTCCCGGCTTAGTTGATAAACCTACCGTTTCCGTCAGCCCCCTGCAAGAAACGATAATCCGTGAAAACTCGGGAAATGTAAAGGCTGGTTTGAGTGCTGATTTTAAACAGATGGGATATAAACAAGTTGAAAAGAGGGAGCTCTTCTAGGCCCGTCCTGTGTTTAAGGAGCCTTTCCCCCCCCCCTCGCAAAATAAGGATCGGGGGCTTAGGAAGAGTCAGAACAGTTAGCAAAAAATACTCTGATATGAAGCTCGGCAGTGGTGCTTTCGAAAAGCGTTTTTCTTGGGTTGAACTAGGACAGGATTTCCTCCATCACTAACTAATATCCAACACCTCAACAGTTAGATACCAAAGGGGATTTTTGCAATGCCGTCTAAGAATGGCAGGCCTACGAGAGCCGTAGCAGCCTTCGGGGCCGCTCACACGGGACTTCTTTCACATTCATGACCGAGACCCTGCTTGTCGTCGTTTTGGTGACGGGAGTTGTACCACTGATCATTTTGCCTCTCTTGTGTTTTGTAAAACGAAGAAAAGCTGTGCTTCATCACTGTCTCCATCAGCAGAGCTCCGAGCCTGATCACCTGGAGCTGTTTTTTGCCTTAATGGCGTGTAACCCTTGGCGTTGTATTTTAATAAATGTTTTCCATTTCAGAGGACGGTTCGGTAGCATGTTGTGACTCTAAATAAACTTTCTGTACTGTTTTACAGCCAAGCTTTCTTGAATGTGTCACTCTGGAAACTGAGTGTGGAAGTTTTTTCTGGGTACGGGCAAGTAGGGTGGGGTGGGGTGGGAGGGACTTCTTTTTTATCCAGCCCCATATGGCTCCTTCCTGTTCAGCTTGCCTTCTGGAAAGGAAGATGGAAAGTGGCGTATTGAAATTAAGAGATTCTAGGGTACACGCCTGCTTGCAACTATCTCTGTCTATCAAGAACGTCAGAAGAGCCCTGCTGGATCAGACCAGTGAGGGTCCCTCTAGTCCAGCATCCTGTCTCACACAGTGGCCAACCAGTTGCTCTGGAGGGCAAACAACAGGGCAGAGAGGCCGAGGCCTTCACAAGAACATCAGAAGAGCCCTGCTGGATCAGACCAGTGAGGGTCCATCTAGTCCAGCATCCTGTCTCACACAGTGGCCAACCAGTTCTTCTGGAGGGCCAACAACAGGGCACAGAGGCCGAGGCCTTCACAAGAACATCAGAAGAGCCCTGCTGGATCAGACCAGTGAGGGGTCATCTAGTCCAGCATCCTGTCTCACACAGAGGCCAACCAGTTCTTCTGGAGGGCCAACAACAGGGCAGAGAGGCCGAGGCCTTCCCCTGATAAGAACATCAGAAGAGCCCTGCTGGATCAGACCAGTGGTCCATCTGGTCCAGCATCCTGTCTCACACGGTGGCCAACCAGTTCTTCTGGAGGGCCAATGACAGGGCACAGAGGCTGAGGCCTTCATAAGAACATCAGAAGAGCCCTGCTGGATCAGACCAGCGGTCCATCTAGTCCAGCATCCTGTCTCTCACAGTGGCCAACCAGTTCTTCTGGAGGGCCAATGACAGGGCACAGAGGCTGAGGCCTTCATAAGAACATCAGAAGAGCCCTGCTGGATCAGACCAGCGGTCCATCTAGTCCAGCATCCTGTCTCACACGGTGGCCAACCAGTTCTTCTGGAGGGCCAATGACAGGGCACAGAGGCTGAGGCCTTCATAAGAACATCAGAAGAACCCTGATGGATCAGACCAGTGGTCCATCTGGTCCAGCATCCTGTCTCACACGGTGGCCAACCAGTTCTTCTGGAGGGCCAATGACAGGGCACAGAGGCTGAGGCCTTCCCTTGATGTTGCCTCCTGGCTTCGGGATTCAGAGGCTGACTGCCTCTGAATGTGGAGGTTCCCCTCAGCCACCATGGCTGGTAGCTATTGATAGATGTATCCTCCGTGCATCTTTCAAATTCCCTTTAAAAGATATTTATTCCTGTGGCCATCACTACATCCTTGAGCAGCAAATTCCACATTTAGAAGTATTTCCTTTTGTCCGTCCTGAACCTCCTGCTCATTAGCTTCATTAGTTGCCCTTGAGTCCTAGTCTTTTGGGAGAGGGGGGGGGGAAATCTCTCTCTGCCAATTCTCTCCACCCTGTGCATAATTCGATCAACCTCTATCATGTCCTACCTTAGTCTTGTTTTCTAAACTAAAAAGTCCCACTCCAGCCTTCCCTCATAGGGAAGGTACTCCAAGAATTTCCTCTATTTTAATCCTAGCTAGGATGGAGCGGCCCTCTGCATATGGTCAAAGCAACTCTCTTTTTACTGTTTCGCTTTTTTTAAAGGACCTGCACTGGCACAGAAAATGTGGGGATGAAATCTGGTGTGAACCAGGCTTGGCGGTGGGGCTGCGCTCGGAGGAGGTAAGGTTAAGGGTGCCACGAGAGAGGGAGCTTCATTCCTCTTCCCGCTTGGCTTCCGCAGAAGGCTAGGACAGGGTTCCCCAACGTGGCGCCCACCAAGCTTTTCAGAAAGTGGGCAGAGCCCATTGCAAAGCCGGGCTTGTTACTGGCCCCTCTTATCCAAGTGAATGGCCGCGAAGTGGAGAGGGAAGTATTGCGTTTGGCTCTGTCTCCCGCGGCACCATTTCGAAGAGGCGCTCTCTGCTCCCTGTCACAATTTCCATTTGTGCCAGCAGGCTCAGAAAGGTTGGAGACCCATGGGCTAGAACCTGCCTTCATGGCACTCCTCCTCTCTCTCACGGGCTTTGACCCATGCACATGGCTCACACTGAGCTTACTTCCACATTTGCTTTTATATCCCCGAGAATCATAAAATCATAGAGTTGGAAGAAGAAGAAGAGGAGACTGGATTCATACCCCGCCCTTCACTACCCAAAGGAGTCTCAGAGCGGCTTACAAACTCCTTTCCCTTCCCCTCCCCATAACAGACACCCTTGTGAGGTAGGTGGGACTGAGAGAGATTTTGCCAGAAACTGCTCTTTTTCAAGAACAGCTCTTATCAGAACTATGACTTGCCCAAGGTCATCCAGCAGGTGCAAGTGGAGGAGTGGGGAATCAAACCCGGTTCTCCCAGATTAGAGTCCACGCACTTAACCACTACACCAAACTGGGGACCCCCCAAGGTCATCTAGTCCAATACCCTGCACAATGCAGGAAATTCTCAAATATCTCCCCCCACACACCCCCAGTGACCCCTGTTCCACGCGCAGAAGATGACAAAAACTCCCTTTAGGACAGGCCCATAGCTACAGCGGGGCATTTGGGGGCCTGGCCCCCTGACTTCGTGCCAAGGCCCCCCTGACTTCCCATCCAGCCCCCGGGTCCCCCGACTCTCTGGGCTGCCTGGAGGTCTCCCCACCGCCGCCCCTTCCCCAAGCATGGCTTGCTTCCCCGCATAGGCAGGCAAAGTGTGAATGCTGCTAACGTTAGGTTTTTTAAAAAAAAAACATATTTTTTAATTTTGTGATGTCAGTGCCCCCCAACTTATTTAAAGGCCCCCCAAATTACAAAATCCTGGCTACGGGCCTGCTCCAGGATCTCCAGCCAAACTGACCTGGAGAAAAATTACTTCCTGACCTGAAAGAGTCGATCGGCGTTTCCCTGGCCGTGTAAGAAAGGGCCTAAGAACTAGAAGAAGAAGAAGATATTGGATTTATACCCCACCCTTCACTACGCAAAGGTGTCTCAGAGCGGCTTACAAATTCCCTTCCCCCTCTCCACAACAGACACCCTGTGAGCAATGCTCCCTCTAAGCTGTGAAGTCTTGTGAGCAAAAATTCTACTTTGCGAGCTCCTGGCATTAAGGTGGTGAGCAAGTGATTTGGCTACTGCATAAATTAGTTTGCTCTGGAGCCATCTTTCCTGAGCTAAGACAAAAATGTGTGAGCCGGAGGCTAAAAAACTGCGCTAGCTCACACTAACTCAGCTTAGAGGGAACACTGCCTGTGAGGTAGGTGGGGCTGAGAGAGCTCTTGACAGAAACGGCTCTTTTTCAACGACAGCTCTTATCAGAACTACGGCTTGCCCAAGGCCATCCAGCCAGGTGCAAGTGGAGGAATGGGGCATCGAACCAGGTCCTCCCAGATTAGATTCCGTGCATTTAACCACTACACCAAGCTGGCACCAAACTAAGCGCTGATGCAACCCTTCCTGCCCTCCCTCTCACGATCTGCCCGAATTCACAGAATCAGCACTGCTGACAGATGGCCCCCTAGCCTCTGTTTGGAATTCTCTCAAGAAGGAGAGCACGAAAAAAGGAGAAAAAAGTGGCAGAAGATGTACCTCATATCTTGCAGGTACCGTCGGCGACGAGCCACGATTGGCTCGTGGCTTTCGAGCACACTGAATGGCAAACCGTGATTCGCCTTTGAATGCGGTGTTCTCCTGCTCTCATCCCCTGAGTTTGGCCTAGCCACAGTTCCTCGTATCGAACCGTGAAACCCTGGAGTGGCGCTGCCGACATGAGCGTTTTGACCTTGTATGAACTGGCCTTGCTGTGAGTCAGACTCACGGTCCACGTCGCCCGATATGTCATCTGGTCAGCAGCTGCTTTTTCTTCCCAAGCCCTGCTATACTGAATAAATACGAGGATCGGAACTGGGGACCTTCTGGATGGAGAACACATGATCTACCGCTGAGCTCTCGGCTCTCCGCCAGGACTTTCTTAATACAGCCAGTAAGCGCCTGGCAACCTCGCCCTGGTACCTTTGTATAAACGGTGCCTTGTATAAACTGTCATTTGTACAAGAACTGTATCAGCCGCTGATGAATGTAAACATCCGTGATGCGCTGACAAATTTCTTTCTTTGCAAGGTTTCCCGGCGTGCTTATAAAGCCCCAAAGATGCCTTTGCAAAAACCCTTTGTCATTCTGACAGATAACATACCTCTAAACCTTATTTCCCCCCCACACGAACACACTATTTTATCTGCAGTCTCTTAGCCCATGGGTGTCTCTCTTAAAGGGATAGAGCGAGTGAAGAATGAGAGCCATCACGGAAATGAACGGCGGTGACAAAACGTGGGGACGTGCTCAGCTTCCAGCCTTTAAACGTCTTGTCTGGGGTTCCAGAACAATCCAGAGCTTAGAGATCTCCTGTACGGACTCGAGACATGATCTATGCCGGGGTCCCCGATCTTTGTGAGCCTGCAAGCAGCTTTGGAATTCTGACATGGTGTGTGGTGGGCTCAGATACAAAATGGCTGCTGCTGTTTACCTCCAGTCACAAGGAAGACTCTTGAGAGCCAGTTTGGTGTAGTAGTTAGGAGCAGTGTTCCCTCTAAGCTGAGTTAGTGTGAGCTAGCTCACACTAACTCAGCTTAGAGGGAACATTGGTTAGGAGCGCGGACTCTAATCTAGGAGAACCGGGTTTGATTCCACACTCCTACACATGCAGTCAGCTGGGTGATGTTGGGTTAGTGCCAGTTCTCTCAGAGCTGTTCTTTCAAGAGTAGTTCTCGAGAGAGCTCTCTCAGCCCCACCTACATCACAGGGTGTCTGTTGTGGGGAGGGGAAGGGGATTGTAAACTGCTCTGAGACTCTGAGTGCAGGTAAGGTAAAGATAAAGGTTCCCTTGCTCGAAAGCCAGTCCAATCCGACTCTAGGTTTGCGGTGCTCATCTCCGTTTCAAAGGCGAAGAGCCAGCGCTGTCCGAAGACGTTTCCGTGGTCATGTGGCCGGCATGACTAAACACCAAGGCGCACGGAACGCT